TTTATACCTTTTCTGCCCCCACCAGCCGGTCCAATCGAAGCTGTCAATACTGGCTATAAACCGACCAATCTACAAAGCATCCCTGGCTACCTGGGCCCACGCGCAGGGCCGGGTCTTCCCCCCCCTGCCCAGGTGACCAGAGCATCGCCTCCCAGGCGCCAGGCTTTTGTCTGCAGACAAGGTGGGAGATCCCCGTGGTGGGGGATTCAACAGCAGCCTCTCAGGCTGGCAGAGACAGATCTCTGGAGAGGGGCACTGACGGGGACATTTCTGCCACAGGAGCAAATAAATATTAATTTAGTATTTTAATGGGCCCTGCGGGCTGGATAGAATGGCATGGCAAGCCGGATCCAGCCCGTGGGCTGTATTTTTCCTGCCCCTGCCTTAACCTGTCCATCCAGGTTGGCAAATTACCCATGTTCTGAGTTAACACTAAGTCCACATCCTGAGCTGGCCAGGAGAGGGTGCTGTAAGAGCGAGATCCTCCCATCACTGCTCCTGAGAACTGAAATGCACTAGTCCTCCACATGCACTGGTCTGGAGAAGGCAGGCTGGGGAGGGTGAGTGGTGATCTGCACGGGATGGTACCCCCAGCTTAGGCAGGGAGGTCAACTACAGGGACGGTTGCTTTGAAAATGTGGCCCTTGGGAACGTGTTGTGGTCCTGTGTCTGATTTCTGTGTCTCTGTTAGAGACAACCCTGCTTCTGATTCCTCCTCTCCTGGGTTCTTCCTCTCTTTCAGAGCTACGCTGCCTGGGAGAAGGACCATGATGCTGCCAGTGCTGCAGAGAAGCTGGTGGCTGATATTCTGACTCAGGGCCAGGACGCAGGGCTGGGACTCTGGAAATGCCTCTATGCACTGCAGAGCCGGTGGTCGCACCCTAACCTCCATGGGATGGTGGATGAAATCCTTGAGAATGGTAACTACATCTCTCACAGAGAAGGGGGCCTGGAACTGGGACATCCCAGAGACCTATGACTGAGAAAGGGACCCCCATTTGGAATGGGCAAGTGCCTGGAAAGGGAAAAAGCAGCAGCCCCTGGAGCATAGTGATGAACACAAAAAGCGACACCAGGTCAGTAGTGCAGAGTGCAGGTGCTGTGCCCTGAGTCAGCCACACCATGTCACTGACAGGCAGAGGTGGGAGCCGGCAGTAGCATAATTGAGTAGCATAATCTGCCTTTGTGGAGAGGGATGCAAAAATAATTGCAGCTGCTGATCATGGTGGTTGATGATGCTGCTGCAATTGGTACTGTGGCACTTGGATCTATCCTGGGCAACATGTGGCTGTCGGGGTGCAGGGCTGCCTGGCTGTGCCTCGGAGCCAGCACTATGAGCTTGGTGATGATGACCTTGGCTTGGTTATCCAGGAGCTCCCAAGACCTCCATCGTGCTGGATGTGAGACAGGGTTCAGGTGTGTTACGTATATGGAGGGTTACAGCAGTGACCTCGTGATGTTAAGTCAGCAGCTTTCAGATCAGTAAAGCAACTGTTAAGTCTGTCTCTGTAAAAGGCCCCTGGTCCTGCTAACAGCATCATCGGCACTCTCTCCCTCTCTCTTTCTCTCTCTCTGCAGGCCACAACCTGCTAAACGAAATTCTCTTGAATGAATATGGCTATGTCCTGGACCCGGAGCTGACAGGTATGGTGATGGTACACCCTGTACAGCTCTGTGGTGGTGCCTTGTCCCTTGTCCTGCTGCCAACAGGCTGAGCCATGCTGGCCCTGTGTGTGTGGAAGGGGGTGGGGGGGGGGCATTGGTGATGGAGCTAAGAAAACTTCAGGAGTGATTCAGCTTAAAGGGAGCACCATTGTGTTGGGGTGCCCCGTGAGGGGAGGGTCCCTGACCCTGCTGCTGTTTCCCCTTCACTCTGCAGGCTGCCCCCTTCCTTTTGCAGGAAGACCCATGGCTGCTGAGCCCCTGTTTTGCACTGCGTTGCACAGACTGGAATAGGAACCAGGATGGTCTCCTGTGGGTGCTCAGGACAGGTCCCAGTGGACACCAGTGGGTGTCATGATCTGGCTTGGAGCAGGAAAGGAGCTCAGGCAGTGGAGATCAGAGCAGCTCTATCTACCCATCCCTCCAAGCCAGGGGGGCAGGAGAAGAGGAGCTTCTCTCTCAAGCCAAGTGGAAGTGGGGAAGAGCAGGAAAGAGGGAGGAAAGAAATGGCATAGAAATCAGAGACTCAGGAAAGCCAGGTCCAGCAGGGACACCCAGAGGTCACATCTAGTCCAATCCCCTGCTCAAGGCAGCTTTAACCCCTTGCAAACTGTCCCAGACAGGTGCTTGTCTAACTCAGGCCTAAAACTCCACAAACAACCCTGTGGCACAGATACAAGGCACACAGCCCAGGAAGACTGAAAGCACCCTACCCTGCCTTGGAAAAGTGGGGGACAAGGGCACCGTCAGTGTCCCACCACTGCCAGGTCTGTTAAATCCACTTGGGAGATCCCAGGCAGAGGCCACCCACTCTACAGAGGACGGTACCCCCTAGTCTACACCAATCTGACCATGGGGGGAAATTTCTTCCTGACCCCAAATATGGCATTGGTCTGGCCCTGAGCAGAAGGCAGGACCCCTGAGCCAAAGACACAGCAGGGTTACAGGGGACTTCATGGTGCACACTAGGGCTCTGCCTGGTGTTTCTGACTCCATTTCCCTGTTGCAGCTTGCCAGGAAGCACACAAAGCCCAGCTCCGTGAGATGACAGGAGATCTGAAGGAAAACGCAGCCCCAGGGCTCTCACAAGGACCGCAAAGCTTCCCCATCTCCAGCCGCTATGTGGAGATAAAGGTGATCTCAGACAGGGACTTCAAGAAGCAGATTCACCACGAGCACGAGGCGCTGGCAGCAGCTGGGGAGCTGAATGAGTATCGTCTCCAGAGGAGAACGAGGACAGCGCTGGAGCGCATCACACCTGATCGGCTCTTCCGCTGGTGCCCCCGGTCCCGGCGTGTGCCCCTGTCTGTCATGGTGAGCGGGGTGGCCGGTGTGGGCAAGACCACTCTGGTGCAGAAGTTTGTCTTTGACTGGGCCACAGGCAAGCACTACCAGAAATTCGCCTTCGTTTTCTTCTTCAAGTTCCGGGACCTGATGGAGGAGAAGGTGAGTCTGGAATCGCTGCTCTGTAAAACATACCCGAGGCTCCGAGCACAGCTTGGGAAAGTGCTGGGAGACCCAGAGAAGCTGCTTTTCATCTTTGATGGCTTGGATGAGAGTAAAGGAGGCTTGAAGTTAACTGGAAGTGGGTCCGATGAGCTGTGCAGGACGTTGGGAGATATAAAACCAGCCTGGGTGCTCGTTGCCAGCCTGCTGAGACAGACTTTGCTGAAAGGGTGCTCTGTGCTACTAACCAGCCGTCCCCAAAATCTGGCCAGCTTGGGGACAGGAGTCTTCCAGAGAGTGGCCAGTATTGTGGGCTTCCTTGCGAAAGAGAGGGAGCGGTACTTCTCCATGTTCTTTGGAGATGAGAAAGTTTCCCAGGAGGCATTCAGGTATGTGAGAGACAGCCAGGTCCTGTACACGCTGTGCTACAACCCTTCCTACTGCTGGATCACGTGCACAGCACTGAAGCCCTGCTTCGCAACCAGGGACGGGAAACCACCTCCAGCCCCAAAAACAGTGACCCAGCTCTTTATGTGCTACATCACCCACATCTTGGCCAACCACAGCCTGGAGCAGCCGAAGCTTCAAGTGATGCGAGATGCCTTGACGCAGGTTGGCTGGCTGGCAGACTACGGCATCACAAACCGCATCCTCGTCTTTGATGACAACTACATGCAGGCCTTCAATGTGAAGTTCTACCCATTCCTTACGGGCTTCCTGGCAGAGAACCCTAAAAGCCAGGCCCCTTCCCTGGTGACCTACTCCTTCCTTCACCTCACGGTGCAGGAGTTTCTTGCTGCCCTTGTGTACTACCTGGATTACAACAAGGACAACTTAGTGGACATGCTGGCTAGGGCCAGAGCTTGCAAAGAAGGGACATACGAGATCTTTCTTCGCTTCTTGACTGGGCTCTGCCACCCTGCCACCAGGGCTCCCTTGGAGAGATTCCTGGGGAAACTGTCTGCAGACGCAGCTCATCACGTCATCACGTGGCTCAGTGAGTTCAACTGCCAGGCGGTGCAGAACTCAGCAGGGCCCGTGGGGCAGAGGAAGCTGATGAATGTGTTCACTTTGCTCTTTGAGTCCCGGAACAGGCAGCTGGTGTGTGATGTGCTCGGCCTCAATGTCTGCCTGGACTTCACCAAGTTCCACCTCATGCTGGTGGATTGCACAGTTCTTGGTTACATCTTGAGCTGCTGTGAGGAGGTGGAGCGCCTCACCCTTAATGCCTGCTTCATCCAGGACGCAGGTCTGGAGCAGCTCGGACCCGAGCTGCACAAGGTCAGGGAGCTCAGGTAGGAAGAGGGATCAGATGTGAAAGGCAGACTCTAGGTGATGTGAGCTATCCAGGCTTGTAGCTGTGCTCTTGGGTAGAAGGGTTCCTGAGCAGCTGACACATGCAGAGGTTGCTATGTGCTGTAATACACTCTGTCTTAGTCATCTTTCACCTCCTTCACTTGTTGACCACTTTGGAAGCTGGATCCTTTGATGCACCAGTACCTGGTCCTCAAGTATTTGCTTGTTCAGACTTCCACAGATGTCTCCATCCTGGGAGTGCCCTAACCACTTGCTCTGGGGCTCAAAGGAGGGAGCATGGCACTCCTGGGCAGGTAAGTGTGCAGGGCAGGTGAAAATAGACTCTCAGCTGGGTGCTAGTGCCAAGAACTGCAGCCACAGAGAAATCGTAGAGATCATAGAACATTAGGGGTAGAAGGGCCCTCCATACATAGGGAGGCTGAGGCTCCATAGAGGGGAGCCACAGCTGATGAAGGCAAATAGGATCAAGCCCTGCCTTTGTATTGGCTCTGAGGCCCATTTATGGGCCCAGGGCACCAGTGAATGCCTTCCTAGCAGTCATATACTGTGCTGGGTAGCAGCTCCTGGCTTCAAGTCAGAGCAGGCTTCACTGCAGAGCTCTCCTGTGCATGTAGGACCCAGATCCACTGGCCCTGTGCAGGCTGAGCTCTGTGGCAATCAGTCAGAGGTGGGTGGCAGGCCACACTGGGCAGCCCGGGCAGCCAGTGCCTCTCCAGAACAGAACATCCCCTGGTGTGCAAGGGCCAGCTGAGGCTGGCTGAACTCACCCTCCTTGTTGCAAAGAAGAATTTGGGTGGTCCCGGTCAGGTCATTCCTGTCCCCTAAGCCTCTGCCTCCCCCTCTGAGCAGCCACCTGGCGGGGTACTCAGCTTTGCCACGTGTTGCCAGTGAGGCGCTGAGCCCTCAGAGAGGAGGTGAAGAATTGCGCATGGCCACACTGAGCTCTCTCATAAGACACCCTGTCCAAGCCTTGGCCCCTGCACACTGTGCTGTGCCATATGGTGTCCTCCAGCCCAGTGTCCACTGTTGAGGACTTGGCGCCCAGCTGGCCAAGCCATAGAGGTTCCCTAGAAATCACAGAAATCATAGAGATATTGGGCTGGAGGGAACCTCCACAGGTCACGTCTAGTCCAACCCCTGCCTGAGGCAGGATCAGCCCTGTCTAAGCCATCCCAGACAAATCCATAATCTAGCCTCTTAAAAAAATCTGCTGCCAAACCGGACACAGCAGAAGACATCACACCCAAACCTGTCCCAGGGAAAATAGCAGGACCACAGTGGCCAATGTCTTGCTTTTGTGAAAGGTTGTTAATATGTACTCAAAAGATACCAGGTAGAGGCCACACCACCTGCTACAAGAGGAAGGCAACCCCCCCTGCAGTGCATACCAATCTGACTATGGGGTAAAACTCCTTCCTGACCCCAAATCCGGCATCCGTCTGACCCTGAGTGGAGGGGCAAGACACTGTAGCCAGAAGCCTCTGGCTTTAAGTCCCAGCAGAAGCATTGGCATAGCCCAGTCCCCATCCCCAGCATCAGCTTCAGTCATCACCCAATGTCACTGAGGAAGGCTTAAAGAAAAAAAATGCTCCTGATGTAGTGGCAGAGGCAGGATGCGGGGAAGTGGGATTCCCTCCCAGCCCCAGCAGAGCGCAGATGCCTGAGAAATCCCCATGGTAGCATACAGGCATCACTGTGCCTGGATCATCCCCGACCAGTGTCCTCCACCCTCTTCTTGAACACTTCCAGTGATGGAGGGTCCACGCCTTCCCCGGGCATCTATCCCACTGCTCTGACAGTGTCAGAGTGATGCTGCAGTGGGCTGTAGGGTGTCTCTAGCTGTGGTGGTGTAGCTGAGGGTTTACAGAGGGTGTGGGGACAGCAAGGCAGTGGCTCAGGAACACCTGTGAGGGGCATGAGAAAGGCTGGGAGAAACTCAGTGGGGAGCCAGGGAGGGAGAGACCCAGAGGATGTGGGAGAAAGCCCAGGTGGATGCGGGCAGATAGTCAAGGCAAGAGGGTGCATGCTGTGGGGCAGGGAGGAGGGCTGGGGGGAAGCTCGAAGGGGCATAGGAGCCATATGAGGTGGAGGAGTAGGTTCCTTCCCTATGGACAGAGCAGGGAGGCCGGGGGATTGGAGTAGGCAGCCACGGGCTGGAGGAGGGGGCAGTAGGTTGGGCAGAGAGAGTGCGAGATGGTGCCAGAGCCAGTAGAGAAGTCGGTGCATGTCCAGCAAACAGCAGGACAGCCAGTGCCTCGTGTGCCTTTCCTAACCAGAGCGGTGGCCCATCTGTCCCGTGCTGTCCTCTTTTATTTCTTCCGCAGCCTCGTGGATAATGACCTGAAGGATCCTTCAATGAAGGTGATTTGCGGTGCTCTGAAGTGGCCAGATTGCAGGATGGAGGCTTTGAGGTAGCCGTGTGGGTGCTGGGGGGTGATCCAGAATTTCTGAAGTGGCTCTGAGGAGGGTCTTTGGGCCTGAGGCAGCCAACTCGCAGTGTGAAGCTGGTTGTCTTGTCCCGGGACTTTGACTCATGCTTAAGGATCTCTGCAGGAACGGGCCTGCCCAGGCCTCAGCTAGGAGACCTACTGGGGGGAGCCAGGACGCTGCGGGATGCCAGGAGCTGGCAGGATCCCACTGCACCAGGGCCAGACCAGCACCGTGGTCCTGGGAGGTCTGACCAAGACCCTTCCGTGCACCCATGGTCATTGATCTCTTGTCTGCCCACTCCCTGTGCAAGGGACCAGGGTGTGGGCAGTCAGGGTGGGTCACCTGTGATGCAAGGGCTGGTCCAGAAGCTGGGATTGTGGTTGGGGAAGTGGAGCCAGGGGCCAGGGCCAGGAGCACAGAGACAAGGTGGGGATTAGGTGAGGAGCTCAGAGCAGGCTGGGTCTGTGCCCAGACAGCTTGCTGCCGTCTGCTCTGCGCCTGCGCAGACAGGTCGCTCATCCTTGGGGATGACTCGGCCAACTCCAGCTGGGACTAGGGCTGAATCTCCTCCAGCTGGGCCTGGGCGCTCATTATACTCTGCCTGCTGTGGTCCCCATGCCTTGAGGTGTTTGAGCATCTTTCTGGCTTAGAGGCCTGTAGGGGATTCCTCATCCCAGGCTGGTTCTTGGTACGGCTCATCCTTGATCTTCTCCACCTGCCGAAGCCAAGGGCACTCTTAGACAAGGCAGGAGCTGAACCTACTTCTGCTCTTTGCTGCCTGGAGACCAGACACGAGCATGTGGAGCCTGCCTCTTGCCCCCCACAAATGTTTGTTGCTGGAACGAGTCAGTGCAGAGTCCCCTTTGCGACTACTGCCTTGGGTTGGTGTCCTGCTAGGGGCCAGCTGCAGGCTGGGCTCCCAGGAGTGGTGTGGGTGGACCTGCAGGGCTTGGCCCTTGCTGAGTGCAAGGCTGGTGTCACCATCTGCCTTACCCCCATACTGTCACCTCCATGACTTCCCTGCTGGTGTCCTTCATTCTCATTGTCTCCTCCCAAATGGCTGGATGACTGCATCTCTCCCATTGTTTCTGTCTCCCTCCTCCCTCTGCCTCAGTCTCTTATGGCTCCTTTTCCCTCTGCTCTGTTCTCTTGCTGCCTGTGCATTCCCTTCCTGGCTGTGCTGTTTGTCCTCTTTCTCTCTCCTTGTATTCAGCTGTCTCCCTCTCTCCCCTCTACACGCTATCTAGCCTCAAGGACAATGCCTTCACCAGTGACTGCTGTGAAGACCTGGCCTTTGCTCTTAAGGAGAACCAGAGCCTGTTGAGCCTTGACCTTGGAAAAAACAAAGTGCTGGACAGTGGCCTTTCCTACCTGTGCCAGGCATTTGAGGACCCACACTGCAGGATGCAGAAGTTGCTGTAAGTATCAGCCTGGTGGTGACCCCTTTCCCGGTGTGTCAGAAAGTTGTTAATCCTGTTAGAGATTTTGGGCCAGCTCTTGTTCCACTGATGTGGAAGTGGTTTTCTCTAACCTACATGTCCAATGCTGTCCTGCAGCCTCCAGGGAACTGGTTTATCCAACTTCTCCTGCCAGATACTGTCCTATGCTCTGGCCACGAATACCAGCCTGCAGCACCTGAACCTGAGTTCCAATATGTTCACGGATGAATGTGCTGAAGAGATGAGGCAACTTATCCTGACCTGCCCCTACCTCAAGGAGATCAGGTGAGGCACCTTCTGCACCTCAGACACCAGGGACCTTTGGTCTCTCCCTGTCCTAGTTTAACGGTCCCTTTTGTGATGCGGATCTGATGAGTAAGGTGAGCTTAGGTTGAAGGAAGTGTAATGGGGAGCTGGCTGCCAGGTGAAGAATAGGATATGGAGTCTCTGCTGCTAACTGGTTGAACCTGCAGGCCTGGTGGGTCTGAAAGGAGTTGAAGCTCTAGCTGTAAGGGCCAGGTTGCACTATAAAATCATCCCATGTGTTTTCCTTGAAAGCCAGGCCCAGGAGTTTGAACCAATATCCCTGCTCCCTTTTAGCAGACCTCAGCTCATCCCTCCCCCTTCACTGGGGTCTGGGTCTCTGGGTTTTCATGGCAAGGAATGTGTTGGTGATTCTGAACCAACGATAACAGGGAGGAATGATGACTCCTGTAGTGTAGGGTTGTCCAGCTTCTGCGCGGCTGCAGCCTGCACCTATTGCTGCCACCCTGTTAACCGCAGTGCCTCATCACCACCTCTTCCGCAGGCTGCAGCACCCCACCACCATGGGAGCAGCAGGAACTGAAAGCTAGAACTGGGAGGGGGGCTC